TAGCAAACCCGAAAGGAGTGTAGGCAACTGTGGAGTTGCAGTCGCTAAGAGAAGGAGAGTTGTGAGTGCTTAAGCTGTAGTAACGTGTGATTACAATAATCAATCATTTTAAATCGATCGATTTAAGTTAAAGTGGACCTATCATGCTATATTTGAATAATATATTGTAGGGCCATACCTATATAAAACATGTCTGGGAAGTTTTTTTTTCAAAATACCAAACAGATCATGCATTTTAGCCATGCCTCATTTCGCTCTATTTGCTCTATTCCAGCCCTGTTTTTTCAAGGGCTGATTCTGTGGCAAATGAGCTGCAGCTGACCGCGTCATGTTACCATGCTGTTACCATGCCACGGCAACCTCTCATTCCCCTGATAGGTGGAGAGTTGCCCATATAGGCGGAGCTCCTTGTTTCTGACGTCAGAGATATTTCAAATCTGTATCAGTCTGTATCAGCTCCGTTGCAGCCCCGTTTTTAGAGATTTGGGTATGGAGGAAAAGAGAGAGGGTTGTGTTTTCTGACACTTGGTGAGTTCCCTGACACACCGGGGACACATATTCATGTATAAAAGACGTACAAAAGTGCATTTTGCATGATAGGTCCCCTTTAAGATAATATAAGCTATCAGCAGCAGAACAGACACACAGGATACCCGGAGGTGACAACACGCTTACCGCAACAAGGACATGGCACACACCAGAACCCGGGCAAAGCATTAGAGTATTTTCTTAACCCCATCTGGCTCCATTACTAAGCATAGTTGAACTGCAGCATGATCATTCAATGCTTTAGGTCCTATCGAGCAGTCTGAAACGCTCTCCACCAAATCTTTGCTGATCAGAAAGTAATCTATCCTTGAGTGAGATTCATGGTTGTTAGAATAGAATGTATACTCTCTCTCTCTCTCGGGTTGTCAAGCCTCCAAATATCTGTCAGTCCAAGGTCCTTCCCCAAAAGCTCGATTGCTATTCTGTCTTTTGGTACATTATTGGAAAAGGTGGTTTTATCCAGAACCCTGTCTAACACTTGATTAAAGCTCCCATGTCATGCTTTTCCGGTTATTACCCGTCCCCTTGTGTGTTATGAAGGTTTTTATGCATGTAAACGAGGTAACGAGGCTAGCTGTATGCTAGCGCAAAACAATGTATTCATGCAAGTTACATTGTATGGTAGCAGAATACCCGTATACGATTGCAATTATAAACACGTTATTGCTAGCCTAATATGAACCACTAGCTTTTGTTCATAGTAGTTTTATTACACTGCATTATAGTTGCCTTTCCTCCAAGCTAACGTTCATATCATGTTAGCTACCAAGGTAAACAAAGCTAGCTTAGCATATTAGCAGGCAAGCTGTTCATTACACAACTACTACTAACGAATCTAAAACAACTAAGTTTCTCTAATATTTTGTGATTTGCATTTGATTTCGTCCAGCCAGATCCTGGCGGACAATCCATGACGGGGAAGGGACTTCGACTACTACTGAGGGCTCGTGCTAAAAGGCACCGCACCGACTGTGCGCAGGCAAGATGCGAGGAGGAGGAATGAATGATATACCGTGTGTATATATGTATATTTATGTTCATTTTGTACATTTCTAAAAATAAAGTTTAATGGAAATACTTAGTAGGCCTATCCTTTCTTCCCTGAATTCATATATAGCAAACCATGATTTGATTTCTCATCAAACAGTAGTAGTTTATAACGGGTAAAAATAACTTACTCTTTGTTATGAGAGTAGCTCGTAGGCCACAACGGAAAGACAAGGAGACATACACGAGTTTACAAAACCACGGCACATTTATTGTGGTAAATGCAGAGAGAGGTGGTTGAGAGGATCGCAGAGTTAGTCTTCCTGCAGCCGCTTTGGAGAGAGACTGTGTCCGGAGGTGTCCGTGATCGTGCTGATTAGCCTCTTCAGCTCCACCCCATCGTAAGACAAAGGCCCTGGGGCCGTCACACTCTTCTATAACAACAGTTAAAAATATATATGTATATAAAATATACCGCTGTACCGACGCCATGATAAGACTGATGTTACGCTGAGAGCAGCCGGGAAAAGCACTGACATGGGCGCAGCCTCTCTGGTGGTTGACTAATCAGAACGAGTGGCCGAGCTGACCAATCGGAGCACACTAGGCTCACAGGGAGGGGGGGGCAAGAGCTCCAACGAGTCGTTTAGTGGAGAAAGTGAATACTGCTGAATACACATGCTTGACAGAGATGCTGTATGCGAAACCAATGTGAGTTTGGAAAATTGCACAGTATAAATCTATTTTAGTATACCTCAACAATGTAATTATGATCAGTGGAAATGGCCATGACATGGGCCCTTTAAAATCTCCAGCAATAACAGTATGCCCATCAGCTATGCTCCCCATTACTTTATTTATGTTATGAAAGAAACCTGGATCTTCCACATTTGGGGCATAAATGTTACACAAATTCACTTTTATTCCGTTAGTTTTGGCTTCCAAACAAATCCTTCTTCCATCCTTGACCTTTTGCTCATTAATAATAACGAAATTCAACTTCTTATTCTCCAATATAGCCACTCCACGCTTTTTAATATTATATGAACTATGGTATATTTGACCCACCCAGTCCCTTTTCAATTTAGCAGCCTCTGAATCGATCAAGTGAGTCTCTTGTAAAAAGGCTATATGTGCTTGTTGTGATTTGAGGTATGATAAACATTTCTTCCTCTTTATTGGATTTTGTAGCCCGTTTACATTCCAGGACACTATTCTTAAACCACTAGCCATCTGAACAGGTGACGTTTATATGCCTCAGATTGAGATGAAAGCTCCCATGGAGGGAGGAAGACAGTGAGTAATGAAGAACAAAAAAAGGTGCCGCTTAGCTGCCTGCCAAAAAAACAACGGAAAAACTAAATAGTAATAATAATACAATGTCTCCACTGATCTGTGTTGTAAGTGTGATTTATGTATGATTCCAATCGCTTTTTATAGTCAAAATCAGCAAATTTGCCGAGCTCCGCTACGGGAGCGATGAGAAGTGAGGCAGGGACATGCTCTGCCTCTCGTAAGCCCACAGTAACTTGCTGGAGCACGGGCACTAATTTAGCGCGGGCACTTATTTTGTGAGCGCGCTCAAGCCAGTTACTGTGGGGTAAGGTGAGGCACAGATGAGATCTGCCTCACCTCAGAATGCGTCACCCCACAGAAACTGGCTGGAAAGCGGGCCCTAAGCGCATGCCTGTTACCATCTCACTGTAGGTCACCAATGTAATGTTTGTAGATCCCTTTATTACATTTATCCTCACCATCCATAGTCTCTAAATAACTTATTTCACGTATATATGATATTTAGGCTTGCTGCTCTCATCATACAACGGCAATGAAAAAAGCACCAGGGGAGGCAGCCATAACCTCTGCCGCACTGAAGGGGGCGCACGTGAGCCCACAGGTTCTTGTTGCTACTGTAATTCTACGCAGAGACGGTAGACGCAAACAACAAACTAGACTTTTGAAACTACAGGAAGATAAGGAGGACTTTTACAAAAAAGTAATAGAGATTGTTGTCCAGAAGGATAGCATGGACTTCATCTTCAATGAATTTGTAATGAAAATGGGATCTTACTAAGAAAGAACAATCCAATATTTAGATTTTGGGTATCCTTTTGTTGAACGGTCTGTTTAAAATGAATCGAAGCATCAGACTAAAAAAGCTTTTGAAAATAACCGAATATTTCGATTAAGGTCAAAATATAATATTTGTAAATCTGACTCTGAAAGAGTCAGTGCCTCACCAGCCATGAACCTCACCGCACGTCACTGGAGGAACCTTATACTGTACCTACCCCTTACCCTGCTCTCATTCATGAGAGACCCACCATGAGGCACATTGAAGTGATCACCATCGATAAACTTTAAAAACTTGTTGAGAGCTAAAACTAATCTTTATTGCTGCGTCACAGGGGTAGGGGGAGAGGAGGGAGACAGGAGAGGAGAGGCAGGAGCCCAGACACACTCACAACTATAAATGAACCCAAAAATAAACACGTTTCAATGTTTTGCTATTGGATATGGTATGTTATTAGTTATGGCCATATTTTTACAATGTTATGATTATTTAAATGTATACAGTTCTCTTTCCATAGATCTAGTCTCTTTATTTTGCCTTCAAAGTGCAAAATAAATAAATAAATCTTCCCGTGGAAGCATGCCCCCGGCCCCCCTAGAGGACTTGAGGTCCACTCCCACTTGATGTTCACATGGATCGGTTATCAAATACAAAGGCATACTTTTTTTAAATAGTAACCATTGTCCATTTCGTTTCTATTTGGGTAGTAGAACCACCAGCACAGAAGAACTTGCGGGTACAGGGCAGACAGTCCACAGTCGGACACATTATGGATGTTAGTGAGATTTAAACTAAAGGGCTATCACTATGGGCAGCAAAGCTTTAAATATTGACAAATACATCCAGCAAAACACCAAAAAGAAAACTGGTACTGGCCGGCTGGGTGTATAATTCCTGGCCTGACTTATTGTCCCAGTCCGGCCCTGCCAATGGCACATGTATTTGCGTACTAGTTCATGAGTGTAGCATTTTTAATGGTAGTTTAAATTGCAAACAAGTGAATATGTCTGTGTCTGAAAAAGAGAACCGTGTGCAGTGGGTTGCAAAAAAATCCATGTGGAATTGAAAATTGGGTGCAGAGCTGAAAATATGTTTAGAGTTTTGGAGACTTGAGCTGAGATTTTGCATTTTGAGTGTCGGTTTAATGTCGGTGCTTTATGTGTCGTTAAAGTGTATTAGCACTGAAAAAAGCTATAATATATATGTTTTATATCAGATGTGTTGTTATTACAAAGATAGATAACCCAGAAACTAATCATTGACCAACTATAATTATCTATGCTTTATAGATGCTTTCAAAACGATTTATTAAACAATCAAACATCATCATAATGAGTTATTGTTCATATTAATAATTCCCAAGGGATCAATAAGAGAGTCAAAACCACTATTCAAATTGCAGAAGTATCATTTTATTAATAATCATCGAAGAAAGTTTACATCCCAGTCGACAATGGAAAAGAGCACATTTTGAGCTATAAATAATAAACCTGACAAGAATAAGAAAATTGAAGGTTAATTCTTGTTAATTCTTGTTTCTAAGGTTTCAGTCGGGTGGACAGCAGTGTCAGGGACTGATCAGCGTCTCCTGCGGCGAAGTGGTTCTGCCGTGGTCCCAGGCACACAGTCTGCTTTTCTGCAGCTGCACGTATCCACTGCAGTGTAGCTGTGGTTCACCTTTGAGCCATCAGCACAAGTCAGCTCCACACTCTTCTTACTGACGCTGGCCTCTTGGCAACACTCACACTGGTGCATCATCTTGTTAGCTGCCGCAGAATATCTACACACAAACAGACAACAGTTTTTACCCTCTGCGTCGAAAATAACAGCTTCTTCAATGGCCAGTGACTTGATCAGAAAATATATAAATAATCTAATACTGTTGCCCTGTCTTAATATTAGATACTTGTTGTAAGTCCTCATTATTGTTATTTGTATTGTGCTGACATGGTGTTTATTTCTATTTACACTTTTTCTGACAGGGAAATTCTACCTTTGGTCTTCACAACACGTTAATCTAGCAAAAAGTGACAAACCTTTCGAACCAGGGCCAGATTATTCATGTTGAATGAGGCCTTTCCGGTGCCACCATAACTGGGCCCTTTGACAGGCGAGTTCACAGTGAATTAGGAAAGTGTGAGTGCAGTGAGGCACTGCTGACAGCCAGCCTTCACACAAAACTGATATAAATCACTTTCTTGTCACACCAGAAAGAGCTGCCCTTCAGATTTCGATGAAACTAGGTGGATTCTCCGATTAAGTGAACATTCAAATTAGGTGGTAAAAATACTCACATGGACGAGCTTCCACAGTGTCCAGCGCAGGACGTAATGTTGAGCGGCTGTGCACTCTTGCAGCCGCTCACTTCCATGACTGTTAGCTTACTCTTCATCTCACAGACGCTCTTCCGCTTGCCTGGAACACACAGCAACTGTTAGGCTCTAACAATGGCACATGATTCCCAGATATTTCCTCTGATGCTTCCCATCTTTAAAACCAAATGATTTAGTAGACATTATTAAAATACGTTGACTCCACTAACTTACAGGTTTTGCAGCATCCAGTAGTGTCAGTAGTCTCAGTGCCCTGCATTAAAAAAAAGACACGTCATGTTTGAGGTTGGACAGTTGGGTGGTTGAAGGGGGGTTAATGGTAAGATAAACTTACAGGTTCACAGTCCAAGGGGTTAAAGGGAGAACAGGTGGTCTTGGTCTCCTTGGTAACAAGATGTCCATTCATCTTCTCACAGGTATATTTCACACACTTGTCATTTGTGGGAGTAAAGGTGTTGTTGACCTGTACCAATGGCATGAGCAGAAACTCAGTCAGATATTCAACAAGGGTGGTTCATTTGGCCTCATTCACAAACACTACTTAATCGCTACTGTAGAAGAAAAAGACCACCAATAGTTTTCACACTTGTGAAAAATATATATAAGTTAAGTATTATTTTTTACTTTGAAATATACAAAATCATGTTTACTGTTAATATCAACTATCTAATTCAGGTTGTACACGTCTGCTATGAGTGACATTCATTTTCTCATACTCCTGGTCAGCAAAAATGTGAGGAAAGACTTGCACAGCTGTGGGACCGACCTCAAGGATATGTGTTGTGTTGTCCTGTGTGGTGAAAATGCAGCTTTTCTGAACACATTTCCCGCAGCACTTTCCATGTAAGGTCTGATATTCATAACCCTGGAAAAAGAGACAAAGAGAGTGAGTCCTTTGGCCTTGTAAGACAAGGGTACAATGTGTGTGGAGGTGTGGATGTGCACTTATGTGTCCATGTGCAGCTACGATTTGTGATTAGCACTTCAAATGAATAGAGCATCTATGGAAGGGAACTTGATATGAAAGCTGGAAAACATAACTGGGATTTTCTGTTTAATAGATATTCATCACTCTATCAATGGACAGTAGATAAATAAATAAAAAAGTAATTAAAATTGAGTGTGTTTGTAAGTATATCTTACTTTGGGGCATTGTGTGTTGCACACAACAGGTCTGCAGTTAATGATGTTCAACCTAGTGATGGGATCCATTTTGGGGCCACAGAAACACTCCTGGCAGGGATTTGGTGTGAAAGGTCCCGATGTTCCTGATGGTGCTGTTGTTGTTTCCGAAGGTTGTCCTGCTCCTGATGGTGCTGTAGTTGTTCCAGAAGGTTGTCCTGCTCCAGATGGTGTTGTTGTTGTTCCTGATGGTTGTCCTGCTCCAGATGGTGTTGTTGTTGTTCCAGAAGGTTGTCCTGCTCCTGATGGTGTTGTTGTTGTTCCTGAAGGTTGTCCTGCTCCTGATGGGGAGGTTGTGGTTCCTGAAGGTTGTCCTGCTCCTGATGGTGCTGTTGTTCCTGATGGTTGTCCTGCTCCTGATGGTGCTGTTGTTGTTCCTGAAGGTTGTCCTGCTCCTGATGGTGCTGTTGTTGTTCCTGATGGTTGTCCTGCTCCTGATGGTGCTGTTGTTGTTCCTGAAGGTTGTCCTGCTCCTGATGGTGCTGTTGTTGTTCCTGATGGTTGTCCTGCTCCTGATGGTGCTGTTGTTGTTCCTGAAGGTTGTCCTGCTCCTGATGGAGATGTTGTTGTTCCTGAAGGTTGTCCTGCTCCTGATGCTGCTGTTGTTGTTCCTGAAGGTTGTCCTGCTCCTGATGGTGCTGTTGTTGTTCCTGAAGGTTGTCCTGCTCCAGATGGTGCTGTTGTTGTTCCTGAAGGTTGTCCTGCTCCTGATGGTGCTGTTGTGGTTCCTGAAGGTTGTCCTGCTCCTGATGGTGCTGTTGTGGTTCCTGAAGGTTGTCCTGCTCCTGATGCTGCTGTTGTTCCAGGTGGTTGTTCTGTTGTTGTTGGTGTTGATGGTGTTTCTAATGGTGGTTCTGGTGTTGTTTCTGTTGGTATTTTGTCACCAGGCTGTAGAATACACATATATTTAGAGTACAAATTGATTAGTTACTCTCAAACATCTGTTCATTATTCTATGGAAGATATGCTGCATGTGCTTATTTCAGGATTCATGGACTAAGTACTGAAGGATCCATTGTTGCCTTTCTGAACTGGTCTGTTTCATGTACATTCTGACTTGTTAAAAAAAAACATAGGTTACCATACGTAATAAAGATGGACAGGTATATTTTGGTGATTCTAATACTACATCATAATATTTTAATGGAGTCAAAAGTGAAAAGCAGCACGACATACCTACTGCGCCTCTTGTATTTATGTAGTTTCTCACAAAGAGCTGATGAAATCAGTCTAACAGGCTGTGGGTTAATACAGCTAATGGAAATGTTTCTGCTATTTCAGGCAATCACACAATGATGTAGCTATATTGGTATATGGGGTTTGGACTTACCTTGTACTCATTCATGTCATAGACACATACACCTTTAGGAACTGCAAAAACAAAGAGCTATGAGTTAGCTAGGCTGTGTACCTTTTTACTGAATGCATATTGATGTTCTATTCATGTTACTGGGTAACTGTCATTGTTGTAAAAATCCCTAAATGTGAACATCATTTCTTTCAGATGTACTTTTTAAGCAATATATTGTGAACAAATATTAAAATGTGTAAATTAATGTTATTTAATTTCAACACTGAATAGCCGGATGGAAGCCTGGACAGCATTTGTCTGCCTTCACAGAATCGGAAAATGCATCTAAAAATCAGATAAAGAAAATATGATGAACTCTTTCAAAGTTTTTGGACCGCAAATTATTTCAGGACAATAAAAGTATATAGCAGGCTTTGATTGTTTAGGATTGCATTCAAGTGTTGAACTAACATTTAAAGGCAATCTTACATACATCCACAGCAGAGCTCATTGCTGTTTTAGTTTTGTTACACCAGCAGATAATCCTACGTTGATAAAGTAAAGTCACATACCACACTCGTAGGACTGGCAGCAGGTGCCGCTGGTAACGTTGCGTTGGAAGCCCACTGGGCAGGTGATTGGTTGTGGACACAGGTTTACATTGCACTCTGTATGGCACAAAGGGATGAGATGATTATATATGGATGTGGAAATCAGTTTCAATTGACCTTTTATAACAATAACTTAAAGAACCATAACAGCAGTCCTGCAAGTTTCAGTGGGAGACTGTTGAGAGAAAGGCACTAAATCAATTCAACACTCACACCTGATGGCTGTGTGATGTGCTCAACACTTAGCAGCTCTATTAAAGGCCTTGCTCATAACTTTGAGCAACAAGAGGAGAATCAATATTGTGATGGAGGAGATATCCCATATTATTTAACCATGTAAGAAAAAAACAAAACCACCGCTTGATGGGAAGAAAACATATCCTTCTATCTCAAACACGCACATTTGCTATGAAAAGAAGCCTGCCTTAATGTCAATGATATATCATTAGCAAACAACACTGGTGTGGTTCTTAAGGGATTATTTTTCACAATCTTAAAGCCTGTACATGCTGCTATGTGTGATGTATGTATGTGGATATATTTAATGTTTTTTTTCCCTAAATGCATTTTTTTATACATACATCAATAAATATAAAATGTATATAGCATTAGGGGAAGCAAAAAACTCAACATACACAAAGTTGTAGGTGATTAAGAAGAATCAACACTCAAGTAAGACCCATATTGTGCCATTTTATCAGTACCATATTCCAATGGCCATTGACGGACTACTATGTTCAATCATGGTTAAACAATCACATCACAATAGCTTCTGAAGCTCACAGAAAAATGCTTCTTTCAACCTGTTGATATTAGGACAGAATGAGCTATACACATATTTCTTTGTACAATACAAACTGACTAAACCTTGGCTTAAAAAAACTTCTTGGCATTATTCCTAAACTTTTGGGGGTTGTACATGGTTGGATGCACTTTTTGTGAGTTGTCTTGGATAAAGGTTTCAATTAAATTAATGTTATGTAGTGTACTTTATACATTTCAGTATGTATATCAGTAAGCAATGGCTCCCTTTCCATAAGACTGTTATTTGACTGTGCTACAAAACAGGCCTATGAGCAATGTTAAATAGATTAGGAAATCTACAACCACCAAACGTTCTGTAACATTTTTATATATTCATACTACAAGTGAGCTGACAGTGGTCGTTTCTCTCAACAGCAACGGAAGCTTCTGCAAAAGCTTTAAGTCAATGGTGGTGATGATTTAGTCTTAAAAATCATTTAAACATGTAATAAACACCTCAAACACTGCATAAGTTCTCAGATAGACATCAATATCAAAAGTGGATTGTTGAAGTCAGCATATTTCCAATTCCTTTCAGAATGTGGCAGGGATCAGTCAGTCTGATTCTTCACTGATTCCATAAAAAGAAAGCTGGCAGCTCTGTCTTTGTAAGACATTCATTTGTTGACAACACAAAGTAACAGAATCAAATCTAACTCTGTGAAACTTCAACTGACCGCAGGACTGTGTTGTGCAGCAGCCGTCTGTTTTGTTGACCAGCTGCTGACCCGGCCCGCTGCAGACAGGGCTCTGCACTGTGGGGCAGGTGGCAGGCTCACACTGGATGCTCATGGAATCCTTGTCACACTCACATAGGTTGCAGCCACTTATCCATGTATCACCAGGCTGTTTACGATAGGACACAGTTGAGACACTAGTGTACCTGATTATATGACATATATGTATATACTGTATATGTGACATATTATCTATATACACATTTATATATTATCTATATACACATTTATATATTACCTCTTTGGGTCTACCATCAGGTCCAACACAATCTGAAATTCCAAAAGGAACAAGTCGATTTTAAATGAAGGTGTGCTTCAGGTTTTAAGAAACAAATATTTTATGACCCAGTCAGAAATAGGATATAGGATCTGCTCTTACCACAGGAGGCAACACATGTGTCATAGACAGTGTTGAATAAGACGGTGCTAGGAGGACAGAAGCAGCCCTCTTTGGTGTTGTTAGTGGATGCTTCACTACCTGTCTCGAACTTCTTGTTGTATCTGATTTCAGAAATTGAATAACTGGTTAATACAGTGATGAAAGGACACTGTGTGCACAATTATTAGGCAAATTAGTATTTTGACCATATCATAATTTGAATGCATATTTTCAATTCCAATCTGTATAAAGCATATGCAAGAGGGTGTAAGGAGATCAACACCCTATATCAGGGGTATTCATCTTAAATTCAACAACTGTGTCACATTTTGACTTAGATTATATCAGTCTCAACACATCTTAACAATTGAACAGTTTGACAGTTTCTCTGTCCCTCTTATATCCCACCCCCCATTTTCTTTTGTTCAGTGAGAGAACTGAGCTCTAGTTTGTCCTGCCAGGAACTAAAATCTGTTTATTGACCTCAGTTCAGACTTGAGTGGGTATATTGGCACTTTTAATGAGTGCCACGTCTCTGAGCGTATGAGACACACTGGTTCTGTGCTCCCAGTGGGCAGGATGAACATGGATGAGTCTGTCCATTCTGGGTTAAAGCTCTGTTTTCACTGTCCACTTTTCTCTTCTTAGAGAGCGCCATGGGTACTTATTCTTCTCCCCCTGTCTGCCGCTCGCTCGTCTCTTCTTCTGTGTTTCTCTCCCTGTATCGTTCACTCTCTTTCGCCCCCGCTCAGCGCCGGTTAGAATAGAAGCGCTCGTCAGAACTGAAAATCCTGTAATCATTTATTGATTATAGGTCCGGGTCTGTATAGGTCGGCGTCGGCGTCCGGGTCCGCGGTCTGCCATATGGTGATGGAACCCATTACTCTGCACTGCTGTCATATTCCAAAACTGTGACCTACCTGGAGGGCCCAGAAGTCTCTGGTGTTCAGAGACATGGCCAAGGTAAGGAAGGCTGAAACCCCCACTGAACAAGACACATGAGTTCAAACGTCAAGACTGGGCCAAGAAATATCTGAAGACAGATTTTTTAAGTTTTCTGAACTGATGAGACGAGGGTGACTCTTGACGGACCAGATGGATGGATCAGTACCGGGCCCAGAGCTCCACTTCAACACCAAAAAGGTGGAGGCTGGGTTCTGGTATGGGCTGGTATTATTAAAGATGAGCTTGTTCGACCTTTTTGGGTTGAAGATGGACGCAAATTCAACACCCAAACCTACTGCCGGTTTTTAAAAGACACTTTCTTCCATCAGTTGTACAGGGAACAGTCTACATCTTTCAGGAAGACCATGATTGTATGCAGGAGAATGCTCAATCGCAGTAGTCCACTGGTGGCTAGCCAGTAAAGGCCTTAAAGAACACCTCTCTGAACAGAGTCTGGGAGGCTGTGGTTGATCGTCAACAGATCAAGAATCTGACAAACTCAATGAATGGAAGGCTTGTGACCGTTATTGAAAAGAAGGGTGGCTATATTGGTATATTGCCTGTTCTTTTGTTTTCTTTTTTTTTGTCAAGAAGTTAATTTGTACATTTTGAGTTGTTTGTTTATTATTCTCACTTTAACATGTGAGATATAAAATATTCGTTTTCCCTTTAGTTGCATATTAATTATGCACTCTAATAGTTGCCCAATAATTGTGCACAGCCAAAACCTCTCTTTTACTTTCTTATATATTCAGGTTTGAGTTTCATTAACATTTTGGATTGACCCAGAGCACTGTAGTTGTTCAATAATTAAAATAACCCTAAAAAATACAACTTGACTAATAATTGTGCACACAGTGTAAATGTTTTTGAGGAATTGACACTCAATAGGGCTTGGATACGAGTTTATCCTTGTCAAACCCTGCCAACAAAAAAAACTGACATTCACTAGAGACAATAAACATCATTTATTCTTGATAAGGGAACAGTTTGCATATACACCAGGGAAGTGGTGTGCAAATGTTAAGATCTCTAAAGCTATAAAAACAATCAACAAAGATCACATTTGTTACCTGTCATTGCATGTAGGCTCTACGCTGGTCCCACAGGCCTTGTACACTTTGTTTTTTGGACACGTGTGCTCTGTAAAATTGAAACATGTTTATATACACATTTTATCAAAACTCCATGCAACACCTGTACTTATATATACCCTATTGACTTTATCTTACCACAGCGCCCATTGGTCGCATTCCTCCAGTCGATACAGACTCCTTCATTAGAGCACCCAGTGGCATAGGCCTCCAGGCTGGTGCAGGTGTTATTGACACTGTTGCAATTGTCAGACTCACAGGATTTCACAAATGGTCCCGGGGGTATGACTGTGTGGCATGCCTTGAAAACACTAGAAGGAACACACAAGCCAGTACAGAATGTCAGGGAAAGTAATACGAAAAATATAAACATAATCTAAGATGTGAAGGAAGGCAATCAAATAACTCAACATGCATTTCAGTGAAGATTACATTATTTTTCTCATCCCTTATTCTCTTACTTTAAATTGTTTTCTTATTTTTATCATCAAGTAACTATTACTGGTACAGTGTTGGTTAGACTAATAGTTTGATCAAATGTCTTGGGGTGCTGTGGCTCAGTAGGTACTGTACAGTATGTGTGTATTGTTCCTAGTCAACGTCAACCTCTTTGTTTTTGTCAAGTTGTAGTTGAATAAAGGTCTGGGCTTCTTAGTCAAAGAAAATCCCTCAATACTTTGGCCCAGTTTATGTCAATATGAAATGTTGATATATTAGTATTTTTTTAATCTTCAGATTATATTGAAGACTTGAGCTATAATTTAACCGTGTTTCTTTCTACCAAGCCCTGTAGTTGTCATTGTTACTTTCAGTAAATACATTATTTGAAGACGTTAAAGACGTTTTTGAATATTTGGTGGCTCTTCTCACCTGCTTGTTAGGATATTACAAATTGCAGGTTTGCAAAGGGGCCGCGTTGTGGTTGCTGGTTTTGAGGTGGTTGTGGGTTTTGTCGTTATAGATGGGGTTGTGGGGATAACACATGGTGTGCCTGGGACATGCCACTGGCCTGCGGAGTCTGAGCAGCTTTCCACCTGGCCGTTTGGAGAGCGACAGTCATTGTTCTGTGAGTTATCACAGGTCCCTGGAAAAAGAGACAGGAGGATGAAGGCAACGTTTTTGGGCTCATGCAAGAACTAGCTGTTATGATAATGGTTAGGGTTAATACATCCACCCATCCTGGTGTGAGAGGCAAGAGACAGGGCACACCCTAGACACATTGCCGGGTCATCACATGCAACAGCCTTTCATGCTCATATGCTCTAATATGACTGCTGACATGGCTGGTCTTGTTCTGTGTTTGTCTGCTGATTTCAGACAGCTGAGTTGAAGTTCCAACACGGTCAAATCCTTCTTTTTACTCTAAACATTTATTTGAATATAAAAGTCTCTTTAGCAGTGTTAGACTGTCGACTCGAATGTACACTTTAGTTTTGCCCTCTAGATTTTCAGAATTTGTGTTAGCTGTACCACATACTAGTTTTATCCTGTTTGTAAAGACATACAGTAATGGGTGTTCTCCTGATCATTCGGTTTCTTCCAGATCGGTGAACTGTTGCATTGACTATTCTTCTATCAACATTAGGGCCTTCTTACAGTTACCACCGGCTGCCAGTGTCAGTGCAACAAGCAGCTCTCGGGTGCACTCTGGTTATGAGTGGCATTGAAATGTTTATTATTTCCTTAATGCAATTATCTAAGGTGTCACTCACCGCACTGTCCCTCAGTGTTCCCGCCAAAGAGGGTGTAAGGTAGGTCAATGCTGATTGAGGAGCCCGTATAGACCACTTTTGTGTTGATCTCTGGTATCTCCAATGTTATCACCATATCTGTGCCAGTGATGTATAGAACAGGATTTCTGAAGGCGGGAAATGTACGTTTCTGATTCACATACACCTGTAGGACAAGGACACAAAACACATTAGAGGAGACTGTATCATTTCAAACAATAACATGAAACACATAACTTTGGTTGGCACAATAACCACTCATTTAGCACTCTCAAAATAATGAAAGACATGAGAGAGTAACACAAGTAACCACCACGGCCCCTAGTAGACCCCCACACACACGACAACACAGACTATAACACTCATTGCTGTTAACCACCAACTATGTGCAATATGTGCTATATATATATGCCGATAATAACTGTGCAATATATACCTGGCTGCTAAATCATCAGAACTGTCACAGGATGTGTTTTTTGTAAATTGTGTAACCTTTTTTTATTATAATTTTTTTTAAATCTTAAAAAAAAATAATGTATGCATGCTACTTAGGTAACATTAAGCTGTCTTTGGCTCTTTTCTGCTGTAACAATGTTAATTTCCACTCTGTGGGACTAATAAAGGTATTCTGATTCTGATTCTGAAGAACGACAAATACATTTGACAATTTGAAAGCGTGATTACCGCATTAGTTGCTGTTCCTCCAATCTTCAACTGAGACAAAACAACTGTGTGGGATCGGTAGGTTATAGTGAGAGTCTGGGGACAGAATGTGACGTCTGAAGGCTCACAGTCATGGTTGTTTACAATAATAGTCAGGTTATATCTCGTAATAATTTCTTTGACCAGGTAGTAAGAGCAGTTCTCCTTGAAATTGAATAATTCTCCATCGAAAGTTATGTAGTGGTTTTGAGCCAAGATACTGCATACACCTGCAGAAAAACAAAAGCGATTTAAGAAAATGATGTGTATCAACTGAACCAAGCAGAAAACATATATATCTCCAACGCCATGTCTGTTTATTGGCAATTGATTTTTACTACAAAATCCATTGGTAGCACTTAAGAGGTACTACTGAAGCAGTTATGTCTACAAATGTTCAACATTTTCAATTTTAGATGAATACATTTATCTTAGAAAGAGGAATGTGGTTAATTGGCAGTGGTATGCACATGAATAGAAATAGCGTTTTAATTAACATTTCTGTTGCATTATCTATGAAGCTTATACACTAGGCTTATGTTGCAGATTGCATGTCATTCAAGCACGTGTTTGCAAAGTGCGCCTCTTTCATCATTTTCATGCAAATAATAGGATACATTTTGGCTGATCCATATTTTGCTATGTTTAGTAAGGTCAGATTCTTTAAGTGTTTTTATTTACTCTCAGAATGAGTGTGGAGCGCTGTACCAGGATTCGTTCAGCTAACTACGTGATTGGTTGCTGGTTTACTAAATCTGGCTCTCAGTGCTTTCTAGTTTATATTGCCATCTCTATTAATTGCTAAAAATAATGTAGGGTGAGAACACTGACACAAGATCATCTACTGTATATAAACTCCAAATTGGTCAACTGTATTGTAAAGTTGAAATTGCTACTTACATTGACATTCATGGTGGAAGCAGCATCCGTTATCATCGTAGACTTTGACAGCTTGGCGTCCATTGGCACATATGGGCTGTGGTGCTGTGGGACATTTAGTAGGTGTCTTTGTGATTGTGCCATGGTTGCAGGTAGCAGTGGTGCAGTTGCTGAGCGTCCATAACTCTCCATTCTGTATGGGAATTGCGAGTTAGTTATACAATTAATTGCATTCAAATAATTTTTTGCGATAAAAGGCTCTATTTTGGATTCTTGGACATAAACTGGCTACCGTCTAACTAAAATGTTTAAAAACACAATCATGACTAAAACAACATTGTATCTTTATCACACCTTTCTTGGTGGATACTCATCATTGCAGTCCACTGAGGTCGTTGAGGGAGTGGATGAAGGGATAGTAACAGATGTGGTGGAAGAAATCGTTGCCTTTGTAGTGGTGCCAAACAAAGCAGTGGTAGACTGTGCGGTTGTGCTGGGTATTGGTGTAGTGGTACATGAAGAGGAATGGATCTCAACTTTACAAGATGCATTGCAATATGCAACGTAGCACCACTCTAAGCCATCAGTGACATTGTACACCAAGTCCCCTGTGAAATTCAGAGTGCAGATAAAGGTTAAATCAAACAAAGGTATTTCTGATTCAAAAAATGGTTCAGACCGAAAACGGAAAAGAAAATTAAGGCAAGAGGCCATGTTTGATAATGGCGGCTTTTATTTAACAAATAAAACAAGTATGCATTGCATTAACCTGACAAACTGAACCATGAATAATCTATCTTGTAAAGTTGACTAATCCCTAGTTTATGTTATCAACATGTAGTTCAATTTATGAGATGCAACATATGATTACACAACTTTGAGGTATGATAAGACCTCAGCCAGGAATTGTTTGTATAGTAATTGTATTATTAAACAAGCTTGACACACTTTGTAATGATGTCTTTATCAACATTGAATTGAAAAAATGCTGGTTTCTCTATTAGAGACTAAATGTATGAAATAATTAAATACTTTTGTGAAAACATTAACAAATATATTTGGTTCATAGGGAAGACAATATATTAAGGCAAGCCTGTATTTTTTGTGGTAAAAAATAAATAATTGTATTTAAGAAAAAAAAAATGTTGGAGCAAAGAAAAGACTATCAGAAAAAGGAAAAACAAAGGTTGTCTCTGCACCTTCTGTAAAGAGAATACATGATTACAAAAACAAGATAATGATATCATGGAAAATTAAGAATAACTTACCAGGCTGGTGTGAGGTCCCATTGACGATGCACACACATGAAGTTGTTGTTGTTAACAGTGATGGTGTGGAAAGAACTGTGGTTCCGGCTTGCCCAGTAGTATAAACAGTTCTGGTCCCTTCTGGTGTTATTGGGCCAATGGAAGTTGTAGCTTTAGCTGTTACTCCTGTAGTTATAGTTGAAGCCACAACAGTTGTGTTGAAAATAGAAGGTTTTACAAATATTGTTGATGTTTGTGGCTTTCCTGTGACTATACTAATTGTTGTGGCACCTGAAACTGAGGTCGTAGTTTCAACAAGAGCTATGGTAGAGGTTGTTACCAAGACAGTGGTGACTTCTTTAGGTGGTTTAGTTGTTGCAACCTTTACTGTTGTTCCTAATGATGTTGTTCCTGCTGATGTTGTTGTTTCTGCAGGTTTGGCTGTGGTTCCCTCAGTTTCTGTTACAGGAAGTGCAGTAGTTGTGGTAACAACAGAGGGTTGTGATGTTACAACTGTAGTTTCAGGACTTTCTGTTGTAACACCTGGCGAAGTTGTTGTAGTCTCAACAACAGCTGTGGTAGAGGTTGTAACTGGGCCAGTGGTGACTTCTTTAGGTGGTTTAGTTGTTGCAACCTTTACTGTTGTTCCTGCTGATGTTGTTGTTTCTGCAGGTTTGGCTGTGGTTCCCTCAGTTTCTGTTACAGGAATCTTAGTAGTTGTGGTAACAACAGTGGGTTGTGATGTTACAACCGTTGTTTCAGGACTTTCTGTTGTAACGCCTGGCGAAGTTGTTGTAGTCTCAACAACAGCTGTGGTAGAGGTTGTAACTGGGCCAGTGGTGACTTCTTTAGGTGGTTTAGTTGTTGCAACCTTTACTGTTGCTCCTGCTGATGTTGTTGTTTCTGCAGGTTTGGCTGTGGTTCCCTCAGTTTCTGTTACAGGAAGTGCAGTAGTTGTGGTAACAACAGAGGGTTGTGATGTTACAACTGTAGTTTCAGGACTTTCTGTTGTAACAACTGGTGACGTTGTTGTTGTTTTTTCAACAACAGCTGTGGTAGAGGTTGTAACTGGGCCAGTGGTGACTTCTTTGGGTGGTTTAGTTGTTGCAACCTTTACTGTTGTTCCTGCTGATGTTGTTGTTTCTGCAGGTTTGGCTGTGGTTCCCTCAGTTTCTGTTACAGGAAGTGCAGTAGTTGTGGTAACAACAGAGGGTTGTGATGTTACAAACTGTAGTTTCAGGACTTTCTGTTGTAACACCTGGCGAAGTTGTTGTAGTCTCAACAACAGCTGTGGTAGAACTTGTAACTGGGCCAGTGGTGACTTCTTTGGGTGGTTTAGTTGTTGCAACCTTTACTGTTGTTCCTGCTGATGTTGTTGTTTCTGCAGGTTTGGCTGTGGTTCCCTCAGTTTCTGTTACAGGAAGTGCAGTAGTTGTGGTAACAACAGAGGGTTGTGATGTTACAACTGTAGTTTCAGGACTTTCTGTTGTAACACCTGGCGAAGTTGTTGTAGTCTCAACAACAGCTGTGGTAGAACTTGTAACTGGGCCAGTGGTGACTTCTTTGGGTGGTTTAGTTGTTGCAACCTTTACTGTTGTTCCTGCTGATGTTGTTGTTTCTGCAGGTTTGGCTGTGGTTCCCTCAGTTTCTGTTACAGGAAGTGCAGTAGTTGTGGTAACAACAGAGGGTTGTGATGTTACAACCGTTGTTTCAGGACTTTCTGTTGTAACGCCTGGCGAAGTTGTTGTAGTCTCAACAACAGCTGTGGTAGAGGTTGTAACTGGGCCAGTGGTGACTTCTTTAGGTGGTTTAGTTGTTGCAACCTTTACTGTTGTTCCTGCTGATGTTGTTGTTTCTGCAGGTTTGGCTGTGGTTCCCTCAGTTTCTGTTACAGGAATCTTAGTAGTTGTGGTAACAACAGTGGGTTGTGATGTTACAACTGTTGTTTCAGGACTTTCTGTTGTAACGCCTGGCGAAGTTGTTGTAGTCTCAACAACAGCTGTGGTAGAGGTTGTAACAGGGCCAGTGGTGACTTCTTTGGGTGGTTTAGTTGTTGCAACCTTTACTGTTGCTCCTGCTGATGTTGTTGTTTCTGCAGGTTTGGCTGTGGTTCCCTCAGTTTCTGTTACAGGAAGTGCAGTAGTTGTGGTAACAACAGAGGGTTGTGATGTTACAACTGTAGTTTCAGGACTTTCTGTTGTAACAACTGGTGACGTTGTTGTTGTTTTTTCAACAACAGCTGTGGTAGAACTTGTGACTGGGCCAGTGGTGACTTCTTTGGGTGGTTTAGTTGTTGCAACCTTTACTGTTGTTCCTGCTGATGTTGTTGTTTCTGCAGGTTTGGCTGTGGTTCCCTCAGTTTCTGTTACAGGAAGTGCAGTAGTTGTGGTAACAACAGAGGGTTGTGATGTTACAACTGTAGTTTCAGGACTTTCTGTTGTAACACCTGGCGAAGTTGTTGTAGTCTCAACAACAGCTGTGGTAGAGGTTGTAACTGGGCCAGTGGTGACTTCTTTGGGTGGTTTAGTTGTTGCAACCTTTACTGTTGTTCCTGCTGATGTTGTTGTTTCTGCAGGTTTGGCTGTGGTTCCCTCAGTTTCTGTTACAGGAAGTGCAGTAGTTGTGGTAACAACAGTGGGTTGTGATGTTACAACTGTAGTTTCAGGACTTTCTGTTGTAACACCTGGCGAAGTTGTTGTAGTCTCAACAACAGCTGTGGTAGAGGTTGTAACTGGGCCAGTGGTGACTTCTTTGGGTGGTTTAGTTGTTGCAACCTTTACTGTTGTTCCTGCTGATGTTGTTGTTTCTGCAGGTTTGGCTGTGGTTCCCTCAGTTTCTGTTACAGGAAGTGCAGTAGTTGTGGTAACAACAGAGGGTTGTGATGTTACAACCGTTGTTTCAGGACTTTCTGTTGTAACGCCTGGCGAAGTTGTTGTAGTCTCAACAACAGCTGTGGTAGAGGTTGTAACTGGGCCAGTGGTGACTTCTTTGGGTGGTTTAGTTGTTGCAACCTTTACTGTTGTTCCTGCTGATGTTGTTGTTTCTGCAGGTTTGGCTGTGGTTCCCTCAGTTTCTGTTACAGGAAGTGCAGTAGTTGTGGTAACAACAGAGGGTTGTGATGTTACAACTGTTGTTTCAGGACTTTCTGTTGTAACGCCTGGCGAAGTTGTTGTAGTCTCAACAACAGCTGTGGTAGAGGTTGTAACTGGGCCAGTGGTGACTTCTTTGGGTGGTTTAGTTGTTGCAACCTTTACTGTTGTTCCTGCTGATGTTGTTGTTTCTGCAGGTTTGGCTGTGGTTCCCTCAGTTTCTGTTACAGGAAGTGCAGTAGTTGTGGTAACAACAGTGGGTTGTGATGTTACAACTGTAGTTTCAGGACTTTCTGTTGTAACAACTGGTGACGTTGTTGTTTTTTCAACAACAGCTGTGGTAGAACTTGTAACTGGGCCAGTGGTGACTTCTTTGGGTGGTTTAGTTGTTGCAACCTTTACTGTTGTTCCTGCTGATGTTGTTGTTTCTGCAGGTTTGGCTGTGGTTCCCTCAGTTTCTGTTACAGGAAGTGCAGTAGTTGTTGTAACAACAGTGGGTTGTGATGTTACAACTGTAGTTTCAGGACTTTCTGTTGTAACAACTGGTGACGTTGTTGTTTTTTCAACAACAGCTGTGGTAGAACTTGTAACTGGGCCAGTGGTGACTTCTTTGGGTGGTTTAGTTGTTGCAACCTTTACTGTTGTTCCTGCTGATGTTGTTGTTTCTGCAGGTTTGGCTGTGGTTCCCTCAGTTTCTGTTACAGGAAGTGCAGTAGTTGTGGTAACAACAGAGGGTTGTGATGTTACAACTGTAGTTTCAGGACTTTCTGTTGTAACACCTGGCGAAGTTGTTGTAGTCTCAACAACAGCTGTGGTAGAGGTTGTAACTGGGCCAGTGGTGACTTCTTTAGGTGGTTTAGGTTGTTGCAACCTTTACTGTTGTTCCTGCTGATGTTGTTGTTTCTGCAGGTTTGGCTGTGGTTCCCTCAGTTTCTGTTACAGGAAGTGCAGTAGTTGTGGTAACAACAGAGGGTTGTGATGTTACAACCGTTGTTTCAGGACTTTCTGTTGTAACGCCTGGCGAAGTTGTTGTAGTCTCAACAACAGCTGTGGTAGAGGTTGTAACTGGGCCAGTGGTGACTTCTTTAGGTGGTTTAGTTGTTGCAACCTTTACTGTTGTTCCTGCTGATGTTGTTGTTTCTGCAGGTTTGGCTGTGGTTCCCTCAGTTTCTGTTACAGGAATCTTAGTAGTTGTGGTAACAACAGTGGGTTGTGATGTTACAACCGTTGTTTCAGGACTTTCTGTTGTAACGCCTGGCGAAGTTGTTGTAGTCTCAACAACAGCTGTGGTAGAGGTTGTAACTGGGCCAGTGGTGACTTCTTTGGGTGGTTTAGTTGTTGCAACCTTTACTGTTGCTCCTGCTGATGTTGTTGTTTCTGCAGGTTTGGCTGTGGTTCCCTCAGTTTCTGTTACAGGAAGTGCAGTAGTTGTGGTAACAACAGAGGGTTGTGATGTTACAACTGTAGTTTCAGGACTTTCTGTTGTAACAACTGGTGACGTTGTTGTTGTTTTTTCAACAACAGCTGTGGTAGAACTTGTAACTGGGCCAGTGGTGACTTCTTTGGGTGGTTTAGTTGTTGCAACCTTTACTGTTGTTCCTGCTGATGTTGTTGTTTCTGCAGGTTTGGCTGTGGTTCCCTCAGTTTCTGTTACAGGAAGTGCAGTAGTTGTGGTAACAACAGAGGGTTGTGATGTTACAACCGTTGTTTCAGGACTTTCTGTTGTAACGCCTGGCGAAGTTGTTGTAGTCTCAACAACAGCTGTGGTAGAGGTTGTAACTGGGCCAGTGGTGACTTCTTTAGGTGGTTTAGTTGTTGCAACCTTTACTGTTGTTCCTGCTGATGTTGTTGTTTCTGCAGGTTTGGCTGTGGTTCCCTCAGTTTCTGTTACAGGAAGTGCAGTAGTTGTGGTAACAACAGAGGGTTGTGATGTTACAACTGTAGTTTCAGGACTTTCTGTTGTAACACCCTGGCGAAGTTGTTGTAGTCTCAACAACAGCTGTGGTAGAGGTTGTAACTGGGCCAGTGGTGACTTCTTTGGGTGGTTTAGTTGTTGCAACCTTTACTGTTGTTCCTGCTGATGTTGTTGTTTCTGCAGGTTTGGCTGTGGTTCCCTCAGTTTCTGTTACAGGAAGTGCAGTAGTTGTGGTAACAACAGTGGGTTGTGATGTTACAACTGTAGTTTCAGGACTTTCTGTTGTAACACCTGGCGAAGTTGTTGTAGTCTCAACAACAGCTGTGGTAGAGGTTGTAACTGGGCCAGTGGTGACTTCTTTGGGTGGTTTAGTTGTTGCAACCTTTACTGTTGTTCCTGCTGATGTTGTTGTTTCTGCAGGTTTGGCTGTGGTTCCCTCAGTTTCTGTTACAGGAAGTGCAGTAGTTGTGGTAACAACAGAGGGTTGTGATGTTACAACCGTTGTTTCAGGACTTTCTGTTGTAACGCCTGGCGAAGTTGTTGTAGTCTCAACAACAGCTGTGGTAGAGGTTGTAACTGGGCCAGTGGTGACTTCTTTGGGTGGTTTAGTTGTTGCAACCTTTACTGTTGTTCCTGCTGATGTTGTTGTTTCTGCAGGTTTGGCTGTGGTTCCCTCAGTTTCTGTTACAGGAAGTGCAGTAGTTGTGGTAACAACAGTGGGTTGTGATGTTACAACTGTAGTTTCAGGACTTTCTGTTGTAACACCCGGCGAAGTTGTTGTAGTCTCAACAACAGCTGTGGTAGAGGTTGTAACTGGGCCAGTGGTGACTTCTTTGGGTGGTTTAGTTGTTGCAACCTTTACTGTTGTTCCTGC